CAGATGAGCCGCTGCATTCTGGATGAGCTGCAGAGGTCGGATGGCACATGCAGGTAGACCAGCCAGGAGGGAGTTGCAGTAGTCTAGGCGTGAGATGAGGAGAGCATGGACCAGAAGTTGCGTAGCTTACTGGGTCAGCTGGGGACGTATCCTCCTGATGTTGTAAAGAGTGTATCTGCAGCAGCGGGTTGTATCAGCGATGTTTGCAGTGAAGGACAGTTTGCTATCTAGGGTCACACCCAGATTTCTTGCAGTCTGAGTCGGGGAAACAACAGAGGTGCCAATGTTGATTGTTAGGTCAAGAGTGGGACAATCTTTTCCCGGAAGGAAAAGCAGTTCAGTCTTGTCAAGGTTGAGCTGGAGGTGGTGAGCAGACATCCACTGAGAGATGTCCGCTAGACAAGCAGAGATGCGTGCGACGACCTGGGTCTCTGAGCGGGGAAAGGACAGAATTAATTGGGTGTCGTCAGCGTAGCAGTGGTATGAAAAACCATGCGGGCTAATGACAGATCCGAGCGAGTTTGTGTACAGGGAGAAGAGGAGGGGACCAAGAACAGAGCCCTGAGGGACCCCTGTAGTTAATTGACAAGGGTCGGACTCTGACCCTCTCCAAGTTACCCTGTAGGTACGGTCTTTCAGGTATGAGGTGAGGAAGGAAAGTGCAAAGCCTGGAACTCCAAGTTCTTGGAGAGTGCGGAGGAGGATCTGATGATTCACCGTGTCGAATGCAGCAGACAGGTCCAACAGGATGATGACAGAGGAGAGGGAGGCTGCTTTAGCCGTGTGCAGTTCCTCTGAGACAGCAAGGAGGGCAGTTTCTGTGGAGTGACCTGCCTTGAAACCAGACTGGTGCGGATCCAGAAGGTTGTTCTGATGGAGATAACAGGAGAGTTGTTTAAAGACAGCGCATTCAAGTGTTTTAGACAGGAACGGGAGGAGAGAGACAGGCCTGTAGTTTATAACATCAGACGGGTTGAGAGTGGGTTTCTTTAGGAGAGGGTTTACTCTTGCCTCCTTGAGAGTGTTTGGAAAGTGACCAGAAGTTAAAGAAGTGTTGATTAAGTGGGAGAGAAACGGTAGAATATCAGGAGCAATAGTCTGAAGGAGGTTTGAGGGGATAGGGTCCAGAGGACAGGTGGTAGGGCGGGCAGAGGTAATGAGGTTAAGAACCTCACTTGGAGAGAGAGGGGAAAAGGAGGTTAGTGTGTGGGTGAAAGGTGGGACTGGTGACCCAGCGGTGAGTAAAGGTGAGTCAGAAAAAGAAGCGCGAATATCAACCTTTTTTTCAAAGTGGTTAACAAAGTCGCTTGACAGAAGGGAGGAGGGGGTGATGGAATGCTCCGGTTTTGGGATAAAATGAACATGGAATCACTCCGGTCATTGTACATACTTCATCTCACTGGAATATTAACGGTCAGATTGAATACAACATCGACCCAATTTCTCCGGTCAATGACGGGAGAGTTTTGAAAGTGACAAAACACTGTTTCACACATTTAAAAACACTTAAACAATTAAACAATGTTTACCCAGGATTCAGGCATCTTCCCTGGCTTGTAAAATGCAGTGATGCGCCCTAGAGGTATAAGACTATTTAAAACATGTATACCCAGGATTCAATCACTTTTCCTGGCTTGTAAAGTGCTGTGAAGCAGCCTGTTCTCTGGGTGCAGTCTGGGTGCAAGAGCCATTCGCTGCAAGGATCTCTCTGGGTGCGCTCTGTGAGTCTCACACCCCGCTTCTCTCTGGCTGCTCTCTCCCTCTATTCACATCACTTTTCCCCAGCTTTCAAAAACCTATTGCTGGGTGGAATAGCCATGTGCATCACCCTGGGTCTCTGCCTGTGTGCCTGTGAGTGTGAGACCCTTCTAACAGCAGTGACTCTGCTGTACTTATCTTCTTTTACATTTCATGAGTCAAATGTGGACGAAATGGACAGTTTCCTGTCCATATGACCGGCTGTTTATGCAGTCAAATGTGCATTGGAATTAAAACAGTTTAATGCACTTTTAACACTCATGTACCCACGATTCAAGCTGCTTTCCTGAGTTACAAAGTGCTGTGAAGCAGCCTGTCCTCTGGGTGGGAGAGCCATGTGCTGCAAGGAGCTCTGTGGGTGCGCTCTGTGGGTCTCACAGCCCGCTTCTCTCTGGCTGCTCTCTCCCTCTATTCACAGAACTTTTCCCCAGCTTTCAAAGACTTATTGCTGTGTGGAAGAGCCATGTGCATCACCCTGGGTCTCTGCCTGTGTGCCTGTGAGTCTGAGACCCTGCTTCTCCGGGGTGCTGGAGAGTCATTTTCAGGCTCCTCTCCACAGTTGTCACCCTAAAACTGATTTGTAATCATTATTTTTGCATTTAAATGATTTATTCTATCATTAATATGGTTCCCTAACACAATGCACATAGTCTGGAGCTCACTGGGGTCCTGCATATGCTTTAATCAGGCGTTTTAACACTTTTTTCCATGAAAATGATTTGTATTCACTATCATGGGGCTATATAAATCAAATTCCGGGTAATTCGGAGCACAATTGTACTTTTTACTATTTAAATGAATTTGTATTATATATTTTTGGGCTATAAAAGTGACATTTCTGGGTGACTTTGTCAGTTTATGGAGCTTAGCCCACAGATCCTGGAGGTTCCAGGCCGAATTTTGGAGCTCATAGGCGGAATGCCATGCGCGGACAATTATATCTTAAAATAATCAAAAATGAAGTTAAAAAAAATTCTCGAATAAACGACAGAGTTCCAACGGAGGAGGGGCTCCGAAAAGCTCAAGTCTTCGGCTTTTCGGGCGGAAGCCCCGGACACTTTTCCACTCCCCCATTGCAACTTACAACGGAGAGGGGAAACCAAGCCTCCCCTTCTCCGCACGAAATCGGAAACCCAGTTTTTCAGAGGACTCAGAAAAAAAACGGCTGTCTCACTTCATGGAGGAATGTGTCCGCTTCTTGTGCACTCTGGCTCGGATGAATTTGTTGCCTAGAGACCCCCCAGCATGGTTCTTACCAAACTTTAAGTTTTTGAACTGGAGGAATGTTTGGGGAGTCGACAGGGGACTCTACCCGGGTTATGAGGCACTATTTTCGGATACTTTTTTTTACATTTTCACCCCTTTTTTATGGTTCTCCAAAAACTTGAATCTGACTATTTTTCCTGTGGAGGAATGACACGGGAGTTGACAGGGGACTCTACCCGGGTTATGAGGCACTATTTCCGGATACTTTTTTACATTTTCACCCCTTTTGCCTGGTTCTTTTTCTTTCTTTTTCTGTTTTGGCCCGTTTCACCCGGTTCCTTCTACCGGGGTCACTGCCCGGTCCTGGGTGCCCTCCGACGGCCTTTGTCCAGCCCCCCCCAACTCGACTGTACATTAACGGATTTTGTCAATTTTTGCTGCGGTCTTCTCCTCTCACCTCACTGATCGAATGGCAAACGCGACCCACCATCTGAGGGGCTCCGCCGGCCCGGCCTCGTGCCGGTGCTCTGGCGGTCGGTTCCTCCGAACTGCGGGTTCGACTCTGACGGCCGGGAGGGTGTGCTGCGTCGGGGTAACCCTGCGTGTCTCTTACCTCCCGGGCCGTCCGATATGAAGCGTTTTCAAGACGAACCGTCTGACTTAGGGGTCCCACCACGGGTTCCGCAGCGGGGTGGAAGTTCCACCTCCCCACGGAGTGCCAGGCAAACATCAGTTTCTCTAATCCTCCACTGTTGCATAGCGGCCTTACTCGGCTGCGGCATTCAGCAATTGGCCTTGCTCCGGGCATCAGTTCCCTCGGGGACCACGGATCGGTGGCTTCACATGATATAGGGTCGACCCTACTTCATCACACCCCGCTTCTCTGATGGGCGGACGGTAAAGCACCGCAAAATCCACCCCCCTTTTAGGGTTACCAGGGGCATGAGGTTCTGTACGGTGTGATCATCTGGGTTTAGTCCGTGGGGGAGTGCTTAAGTCCGGGGGCCTGGGGTCTCACGGTGTGCAAGGTTATGGAAGTGCCCATGTTAGGGAGACATGCTGGAGGTCTGTAGTCCGTCCTTTGGTGGTCTGTGAGGGGCCACAGAGAGGTGATTTCCCCGGTCTCTGTCCTGGATGTGTGAAATAACCTGAGTCCCCATTTCAGGGACACATGCTGGAGGTCTCTCTCCCGAGAGTGGACGTCCATTGTCTCTAAATAGGGAAGGGGCTTTGGGAGGGTCCAAGAGGGTGGATAAGATGGAAAATAGTTTTTTTGAGATTGGAATAGGAAGATTTGATCTTATCTTGAAAGAAAGTGCTTTCTGCCTGAGCGATCGAAGCAGAGAAAGATGAGAGGAGAACCTGATAGGTTAGGAGGTCGTCCTGGTGTCTGGATTTCCACCGCTTCCGCTCAGCAGTCCGAAGGATGGTTCCTAACCATAACAACCATTTTACATTCAACTTTAAATCCACTTCAAATGACACTGCTCTACTTCATCTGATATTTCAACATGGTGTTGACACTGACCTGAGAGGACAGAACATTCCAGAACTTAATGAGCAGTAGTTTATGCCTTACAAGTGAGGGCGTTGACTATTCTAGAAACTACCCCCAGGTAGTGCTTGAAGTGTGGGGAAAAAGGGAAAGCCCTCCTTTATTGACATATGCATTCTGGGTAGAATAACTACAATTGACCAGAGTACACTAAGCACTATAGGCTACATGAATAAAGATAGCCTTCAACTTAAATGGGAGAATAAAAAAAACAGACAAACACAAGTGTATAAACAATAAAAGCCCCATTGGAGCGGCAGCCACACTCCTTACAGTCTGGGCCCCCAGGGGTCTCGTTTGTCCAAACCTGCCTGGTTTTATTCCACTCTGAATGTGTAGCTAGCGCCCTGAGGTGTGAGCATGATTCCTAACCGACATGTTCCCAGGGAATCCCAAAAGTTTAGATAACTTAGTTAGTTTGGAAAAAACTGATGGGAGAGACAGTGAACATTAAAATATAAAAAACATTTATTGAAAAATATGACATTACATTTTTAATTAAAAATACATTTTAATATTGCATTTGTTTAAAAATAAGAGTTCTTGAAGAGGCTGCAGTGCTCAGTACGGTGGATTACGTCCATTTCCACCTGGAAGAAGAAACGCATGTTATTAGGCCAAAGGAAGTCCGATTTGTCACCAATACATCATGCAAGTCAGAGTTGGTCCAATCACAGGAAATAGACTCACATTTTCCACATAAGTCATAATGCCAAGTGATAAGATTTATTTTGTTCTCAATTGAAAGAATACATACAGCAACACCTCTAATTTATTTTTTCCTACAACAAATGGTACAGGTGGAGGGGTTAAGTTGGCCGAGACTGCCAACGAAAGATTTATTTGCGCCCTCTGGTGGAAAGAATTAGGACGTGGCCATAATGCAGACTGCAAAATGGATTCAAATGGTAGTTTTAATATGTTAGCAATTTAGCAGGAGACAAAGGAAAGTGTAATCCCCAATTTAAAGTTTAAAAGAGGTAATCAGATTACTGGTAAAAAAAATATATATATTTGGACAACAATATATTTTAGAATAAATATATTAGAGTAGAGGTACTGCCTGCAATTTGATTTATTTGTATTCAGGCTAGTTCTTTTTTTTTTTATGTACCTGATTAATTGAACAAAAATACTTTGCTTTTAAAGCGTATATTGTAGTAAAACAGCTCTTGTAAACTTGTTGTATCCTCTAGTCTTTGCCAATCATTTAAGAAACCTTTTTTATATTAAACTAAACCCGAATCTGCGCCGATGAGTGGGCTTTCCTCACTGAAACCTCTTCCTCTCTGTTGGGGTTCTGTTTGGATCTCCGACTTCACGGTTTCTCTAACTGGGTCGGTATGATGTGGGCGGACTCTACAGGACTGGTATGGGTTCTGATACGCTACGCTAGGAGCCTGGGCCTGGGGGTGGAGGAAACGTCTGTAGTCTTAGGACTCAGTCACTAAGTCCTAAGCACTCCTCTCTCTCCTTCAGCTGCAGATTGTTACCAATTGTTGAAGTTTAGCTCGGATGACGGCGCATATCGAACTGTTCTGATTAAAACGACTCTGTAGCTCGTTGTCTAACTTGCTATGATTGTAAAGTCATGTTGTTTGTATTTTTACAACGTTATTGATCCGCAAAATTCGAATCCGGCAATAACTCGGCTCAGAGTATGCTTTGCGACGTGCATGTCCCCTCGCTCTGAGTGTTCTCTTGAGGTGTCTTTCACTTATGTGAAACCCGTGCCTATTGCCAAGCACTGATGTTATATCTTTATATTTGAGGCCAAGCTCAAAGTAAAAATCGATGAACCGCTCCATTGTTGTGGTTTCTGTGTTGCCAAACTGACCATTCTGAGGAGCGACCTCTTAAATGTGTCAGGCTATAGGCTGTGAATGTTAGAACCTTCGATCCGTGAGGAGATCCCTCTGGGTTATGTCGGAACTCAATCTGAACATTTTGAGGAGCAACCTCTTAAATGTGTCAGGCCATAGAGTGTGGATGTTAACCCCGTTGATCGGTGAGGAAATTATTTTTGGATTTTGTCGGAAGACTTTAATGTCTAAACTATGAATTAAGGTTTTAGATTAGGAAATGACCCCAGCATGAAATGTTTAGTAGGATTATAATATTGTAACGAGAGAAGGTAAACACCCTGTATACATTTGGACAATTTGTCTTCAAATAAACTGATCCCACCTTTTGGATTGGGACAACTTAAAGACATCTGCGCTCTACTCTCCTGCTTCAAAAGGTAAGATTGCACCCTGCCACACTCACACTTAGGTAGGGCCAGACGTTATTTACTGATATCAAAATCCTTCGGGATCGCTTAAACAGATTTAGAGGATCGTCTGAATTGAAACGGCAGTTAATTGAACCTGGTTCTTCAGGAGTTAATAGAGGTGAGATCTTGCTGACGTTGGTGGATCTGAGCCAAGCAGTAAACTTACATGGACTCAATAACTTCTGTTAGGTTAATTAGTAGGTCTGAGTAATTTGTCGGCATAAATTATCAGCCCTCCCGACTCCTACAAGGATTTACATTGAGCTAAATGAAAAAAAAATTCCCAACCAATTTTTTTTCCTTCTCCATGTCCCCTGGGGCTCCGTACATCACCATACAATCGCCGCTGCACCATACCATAGCCTGAGAAGTAGAACAAATAAATGGTGACTCGGAGATGGACGTTCAAGTCCAGTGAGCAGCACATTGAAGTAATCCAAAACTAATAATCTTACATAACTTTTATATTGTGACACCCACATTTCAAATTGTTTATCGTACCTAGTAATTGTAACGGAATACATTTTTTAAAGTAACCCTTCAAATGTTCCAACAGTCTAAATTAAGACATTTCATTGAAATGAAAGACTCCAACTTGAAAACTGAATCCACCCCGCATGACCGAGACCACCACTCCTAACAAATGACACATTTTTCACCTTGGTGTTTCCCAGGTTTGCCATAGTATCCACTGTAGGCCTCATGCTGGCTGCCGTCTTTAAAAATAGAGACATTTTAAAAAAGGGCCTGAAAATATGTCCAATCAGCTTTGTGTCCTACATCATCACACCATGTTCTGCTCAAATCTGAACAGTTGTTGGGACTACCATTAACATGTTGATTTGTTTGGTAAACAAAATAAGGTAATACTTGGTCAATTTATGTTGTCAAGCCAACACTGTCCTGAATTTAAAAGTTAAATCTGAAAATTCTGTTTGCAGATTTTCTGGGTTAGTTTCAGAAAAACTTTGACTTTTATCAATCAAAAATTAGACCCCAAGCCTGTTTGTCAGGTCTCAGGCTCGAAAATGACATTTCCAGAACAAATGACCATAACTACACTTTTAAAAAAAGGGGAAAATAAATAATCTTTTTTCTCAAAAATAATGATAAACCTGTGAGTTGGATGTAGAAAAGTCTGAATCAATATAGATGTTTTTTTATTTTAAAGAAAATGCAGATTGAACATAGTAAAACAACTATAAATTATTTTGTACTTATAAGTGAAAAATACCCTTGGATGATGGGTTAGTATACTAAAAGCTGTACGAATCCAAAGTACAACATATAATAAGTACCCTGTATCAAGATTGATGCAAAACAAGTGACATTTGACCTTTGTAGAGAGGTTTAGCAAAAAAACTCCACCTCTGGGGTGATTTGGGTGGAAATGGGCGTTTTTGCCGTTTCTCTGGAACCCATTGGTCGATTTTGGTGATTGACATCTCTTTTAAACCGTTAGGGCCAATAGAATCGAAGGGGAATTTCCACATACACACCAACGTTACCAAAAAAAAAGAGGGGGCTTCGCCCATGCAGTTTGCCATAAACCGAAACCCATCTCACGCTCTGAAATCGGAAAAGTAGGTTTATTGCTTATGGATTATCAGAAATAATTTCAAAGTGACAGACACATTGGATTAACCTTCAGCAGCGTTGTTATCGTTTTAATGCCATTGAAGACCACTTTTGATCAGACAACAACGAAGGTGAGACAAATTGCCGTTTTTGCTACCTAGCGCCACGTGTTATGATGTCTGTTTGCTTATTATGTCGCGAGTTCTTATCATGGAGTGAGGATCTAGATACCGATCGATGTGTCTTCTCACGATGCTAATCGATGGGTTGAATGTGCAGTTACGATAAGTAATAAGGGTGTTATACCGTGTTTCCTGTGCACACGCCGTTAGCATTTTTTCGTTCGTGGCTAATTCAGAGGCTCAACGTTAGCTGTGTGTTTTTTTTCGTTAAAAAAAAAAAGATCAGTTAGCTGAGTTTCTTCCAGTTACATGGATATGAAACATTCATAGTTTATTAAATCTTAAGATGCCCTCGGACACTGTTGTGGTTTCGGCCCCTTCGGCTGGTCCGTGGGGTTTAAGAGGTTCAAGAACGCGTCCAAAGCCCTGCATTACTTTACGTTGGGATGGATGATTAAACTCTTTCATGCATTTCTTTTCCGATGCTGTTCAATCAACAGAACATTCTATGGTTAAAAAATAATGACTGACATTTCCTAAAATGGGCAGGGTCCAGAATCACACAGAAAGTGTCAACATTTTAGACGAGTCATTTGAGCCCAGTTCAGTGTTTTCCAACCTGAAGATGCTGTATTGGCTAAATCAATTTTTAGACACCTTACCTTGACCCCTGGGCTTCCTGTAGCCTTGTTTCCTCTGGTTCTTCTGGGTTTGTCCCCTCATGATTGGTCCTTCTCCTTGTCTATAGTTCCCATTCTTAGTTTCTACAAGACAAGCAAGCTAGTTACAGCACCATGGTCATTTTCAGGATCATTTAATTATGGTCAAATCAAAAAGAAGATCACCAGAATATGTAAAAGGCTGATTCCCGTTTGGTCCCATGCTGCATCTCCTCTCCTCACAGGCACACTTGTGTTCCTGGAACTCATTACACTGGACTCCAAAGTCCACCTTCGATGGAGACACTTCTGCCGTCTTCTGATCAGCCATCGGGAGGCCCAGCTGCTCTTTTCCAAGCAGACTAACTTCTTCGTTCCCAAGTGCTCCATCTTCCACCTCGATGCCCGCTCCATTTTGTAGATTCAGCTTTCTTGCGCACGTCTTCCCAATATAGTTCAAGTTCAGACTCTCTTCCTGCTGAGGAGGGCTGGTTCTTTTCTCCTGCAGCTGCTCATTTAACATGTCCTGGTTTGGGCTTCGATTAGCCTCAGGTTCAGAAGACCTATTTTTGTCCTCTTTAGTGGGGGAAGATTTGACAATGGGGTTGTCGTTCTCGGCTAGCTCCACGATCACATCGGCTGCCAACAGGTCGTCACGCTGTAACCACTCCTTGGTGGGGATGAAGGGGGCCAGAGACTCCACGGACCAAATGGACTCGTTCCAGGTTCTCTTCAGGTAGGAGCTATTATTTATAGAGGGAATGATTTGTGCCGTGTCTTCAAGCAGATTTGTCTCGATGCTATAGTCTTGCTCATTGTCAGGGAGCTTATGGGATGAGGATTGTAGGAGTTCATCTGCGAATGGAAGACAACGCCTTACGGAGCCAACGAGTCCCAAATACTCTTCATTGTTGCTGGACTCTGCGTGTTGTTCTTCTTCAGCTTCTCTCAGTTTGAGGATCTTGAAAAGGACTTCACTGCGCTCAGAGATTAAGTTACCCTCAGCATCATCTTTAGGATAAGCCACCTCTGGACTGATTCTGGTCTCGACTCCACTCTGGTGAACAGACTTATCCTGCTCTACTTCAGTTTGGAGGTCATTCTGAAGCAGCTTATCTACCATCATCTTTTCCTGAGGCGTACCACCTCCCCAACTCATGAGGATGTCAGGAACGGAGATCCGCCTCTCTTTGACAACCTTCTCCTCTTGTTGGGGGGAGCTACACACAGGAACCATACCATCTTGAGAGCCAACAGACCACATGTTACAGTGAGCGTTCCTGCATGGGGCAACATTCTCCTGACCCACACTATCTTTTCGGCTCTTCTCAGTGTCCAGGGTTTCTCGGATACATGACTGGATGGCTGTCGTTCCTGTAGGTCGGAGGACGTTAAAGCCATGTTTGATACTGGTCTCTTTAACCGGGAGGTCTTTTTCATTACTGCTTGTGTAACGCGTCCTTCTCAACTTCAGCAGTGTTTTGTTTTTGGGAGCTTGAGCTCGAGGACGAAGGAGAGTTTATTGCGGTTCCACTACCCGAATCTGCACTGTTGAGTGGGCTTTCCTCACTGAAACCTCTTCCTCTCTGTTGGGGTTCTGTTTGGACCGCAGAGTTCACGGTTTCTCTAACTGGGTCGGTATGATGTGGGTGGACTCTACAGGGCTGGTATGTGTTCTGATACGCTACGCTAGGAGCCTGGGTCTGGGGGTGGATGAAACGTCTGTAGTCGACCGGTTGCATGTCAGGGCGGGGCATGATGTATGCTGGAACCTCCATATAGGGATTGGGAGGAGGGAACGGGGGCATCCCCATACCATAGCCTGAAAAGTAGAAACAAGAAACGGTGAATTGGAGATGGACGTTCAAGTTCAGTGAGCAGCACCTTCAAATTTCAATATCCGTGTTTACATTTCTGTCATAGAAAAGTTAAAGCAAAGTTTCATACATACAGTATAAGACCATTGTGTTTGACAGTGATGTCCAGTAACCAAGAACATTTCATCAAGCACAATTTTGAGATACTCGTACTTTAATTGAGCATTTACATTTCTGCTACTTTGTATTTTTACTCAACTTTTATTTAAACAGTTACTCAATACTAGGGGTGCACCGAATGGGAAATTCTTGGCCGAAACCGATACCGAAAATAGGAAACAGTTGGCCGAAAACCGAATGCCGAAAATGATTAATAGAAATATATATATATATATACATTTTTTACCAATGTTGTTCAGCTACCTGATTATGGAAATAGACATGATTATGGCAAAACTTAAATAATAATCACTATTAGGGGTCCATAAAACATTTATTCAGCACTTTTGAATGCATACAGTACATTTATATATGTCATGTATTATTGCTAAAAAACATTATATCGCAGTCTTAGTGTCGCCAACTCGTTTCTAATATGCAAAGACAACAAATGCGTTTATGATGTATTTTCGATCAGACGAGATCTCTCCCCCGTCTGTGTGCGAGGGGGCGGGGCAGTTTACACACACGCAGCTGCTACATGCAGCGGAGCACACTGCGGAGATGGCGGAGAGAACGCGCTCCGAGGTGTGGTTAAACTTTACCCGTCTCGATGTGGAGAATACTTGTTACCATAAGTGCAATAAGAGTTTAGCATGTAAGCACGAGCAATTTGTCTAAACATTTATCAAAAGTGCACCGCATGCAGACGGAGGAATGTACCGGGTTCGACCGTCTTTCTAGCAGCTCTGTAGCCCCATCCACGAGTAACGTTTCCACGTCAGGTGTTATGTATGCTAGCAGCAACACACGGAGTTAACTACATTATACAAACATAGGTTAATGATTAGAGGAAACTGAGCTATTTAGTTTGTTAAAATTTCAGCTATTCTGTTTACAGTCTGTCATCAGATTATTTAATACGATTTGTTAAAGGCTCAAGGCAATCTCGATGACAAAGGTCAATGTTCCCCCCCCCCCCCCCCCCTGTGAGCCAGCCGCGAGCATGGTCGCCGCGTCTTTATTACGTCATCACAACAACACGTTAGGTTACCAACGTAAGCCTGTTCTGACATTCGGTGATATTTTTTCGGTGCTAAAACCCTTTCGGCCGAAAGGGCCTTTTTAACCATTTTCGGCCGATAATTTTCGGTGGCCGAATATTCGGTGCATCCCTACTCAATACCTTTAGTTACTTCACAGATGTGGATGAATGATGTGAAATCTAATCAAGTCTTAGATCAGACTTTAGTTCCACCTGGAGTAAATCCACCAGCTACCCTGCAGTATACAAAGTCATTCAAACTAGCTGCACCTTCACCAGCTTTGAGAACACTTTCATGATCAATCATTATAAAACATATCATATATATTATTCTGAAATGGACCAATCTGCACAATGACTACTTTTACTGTCATGACTTCAACTATATTTTGTACATTTACTGTAACAGAGTATTCCTACACTCTGGTACTTTTACTCAAGTACAAGATCTGAGTACTGCTTCCATCTCTGGTGTTGGATAATAAATGTTGTAGTGTTCATGTTATTGTGTCCATTACTTGCATCAAACTAACTGAACCCAGTCTTTGGCTTTCACCTAAAATATAGAACAAAATGAATTTTTAAATGTTTCCAGCAAAATGTAAAAACTCAAGACTCACCCATTCCTGGGAAGCCAGCAAAGGGGTTATAGGAGAAGGGCATGGGCCACTGGGAGGGGTGGAAAGGGGGTGGGGGTTGGGGTGGAGCATGGACGTAGTAGACAGGCCGGCCATGGAGGTGGTGGTGTTGGAGGTGGGGGTGTTGGAGGTGGTGGGGTGGAGCTCCGGGGTCTTGGCAGGGGGTGTATAGTCCTGGATCATGCTGATCAGAGGACGGCCCACCACTGTTAGCCCGAGTGTTTCCATGCACTCTGCTTGGGTGAGCTGACGGAGGTTTGTTCACAGCTTTCGTCGCCATATTGGACCTGCAGAGGAGGAGGATCCGTCAGGTGTGGATCCACAGCAATAATTCTAAAGAACTGTAGATCTGAGCAAACATTACACAAACAGGATGACACTTTTTGAGAGTATTTTCTTAGGATATAATTTACTAGGAGTATTTGGACCAAATTCAGTGCATGTTTACAATATTTTAAAATATGCACTGCTCAAGAAAGGGGGAACAAATAACCACTGCAGTTCAGATAAGACATTCACACCTAGCTACCTCTCAAGCATTGCTAATGAGGGCATTTCAGTTATGTTTCTCACTTTGGTCTGTCTTTGTTGCAGTGGCTAGAGACCTGCATCTACACATGAATATTAGACATTTAGATTCTTAAATATTATATTCAATATACACAATTGTTTGCCACCAGAGTTTTAATGTTCATACACCAAGCATGTTAGGGTGAAATAAGCCATGTTGATTTGTTGTTCTGAACCCTTTAGACCTCTCCTCACACTCTGTACCAAAAGTGACTTGCAACACCAAAACATACATTTTAAAAGCTTGAAGCTCTGATCTCAAATGTGGAACAAAAGTAAATAAAGCCAATGAATAAAAATGGAACACACTAGATAATATTGAACGAAAAACCCAAAAATGAATCATCGAACTGTTGGAAACGTTATGGTAAATCTCAGAGGGTAAGGGCATGGCCAAATCTGAACACAACCAAAGAACTGTTTACAGTATAGAAACCCCCCAATGTGTCAGGGAGAAGAAAATACTGAATTCATCAAAAAGAATGACAGCCTAAGTACCCAGATTTTGAATCAGAAAGCTCTTGCCAACACTCCAAAAAATGATGCTTCCAAATCTTTCCAAAGCATTTGCTATGTTGTCTGTTATGAAGGAAATGTTGAGTCACTTTACCTGGTTGAGGACTTGATATGTCGGAGCCACACACAAAGGGATTAAACGTGAGACTCACACACCTGAGTTTAAGTAGCTGCTGATCGGCCAAGTGTGTTCACCATCAGCTGATGGATCACCTAATCAAACACTCAGATTCAGATGTCATGCAGCCACTAGAGGGAGCCAAACAGTTAGACACATTTTCCTCTTCAGGTCAGTCTCCAGTAGAAACAGACTCTTACTTTGTGTCTGAGGTTCCAGGTTCATTACTGAGGTCTGTTGGTTAGATTAATCTGCATCATATTCTATATGTGTCTGTAACAGTGCCCTGTGAAAACCACATACTGCTTAAGAGTCAACTTTTCACATGTTTTCTCAGAGAAACAGCCATGTTTTATCTTTGTGATGATGCATTTCCCCAGTAGAAGTACAAAGCTGATGAACTTAAGTAAAGAAGTAAAATATAGCAGCATTAGGACAACAACCACCAGACTCAGAGGCAGTTTCATTCGACAGGCCATAAGACTATTAAACACCTGAACTCTGTAAAGAACATCCATAAACATTCATCAGTTTGCTTCTTGCATCATATTCAATTTACGTTTATAGTCTCTTCTATGCACTTGCACTATTTTATTTGTATTTACTTGCACATCTCAAAACATTATTTTGCAATATTTTATTAGTTTTATGTCCTATATATATTAATGTTGCACTGTTGGAGGAGCCTGTGACTTCAGTTTTTCATTGACATACTGTATGTACACTGTAGCTGCTGTGCACATGACAATAAAGCCTTGAATCCTGAATAATACTTTACATGAGTACTGGATGAGCAGATCCTTATCTGAAGCACCTCATACTCTGTTGGCTATTCATCAGACTCAGTGCTGTTCAGTGAGTTGATGAGGTGGACCTAGAGATACAGGTTGTTCTGTTCAGTGAGTTGATGGGGTGGACCTAGAGATACAGGTTGTTCTGTTCAGTGAGTTGATGGGGTGGACCTATAGTGTACAGGTTGTTCTGTTCAGTGAGTTGATTGGGTGGACCTATAGTGTACAGGTTGTGCTGTTCAGTGAGTTGATTGGGTGGACCTATAGTGTACAGGTTGTTCTGTTCAGTGAGTTGATGGGGTGGACCTATAGTGTACAGGTTGTTCTGTTCAGTGAGTTGATGGGGTGGACCTATAGTGTACAGGTTGTTCTGTTCAGTGAGTTGATGGGGTGGACCTATAGTGTACAGGTTGTTCTGTTCAGTGAGTTGATTGGGTGGACCTATAGTGTACAGGTTGTTCTGTTCAGTGAGTTGATGGGGTGGACCTATAGTGTACAGGTTGTTCTGTTCAGTGAGTTGATTGGGTGGACCTATAGTGTACAGGTTGTTCTGTTCAGTGAGTTGATGGGGTGGACCTATAGTCTACAGGTTGTTCTGTTCAGTGAGTTGATGGGGTGGACCTAGAGTGTACAGGTTGTTCTGTTCAGTGAGTTGATGGGGTGGACCTATAGTGTACAGGTTGTTCTGTTCAGTGAGTTGATGGGGTGGACCTATAGTGTACAGGTTGTTCTGTTCAGTATGTTGATGGGGTGTACCTATAGTGTACAGGTTGTGCTGTTCAGTGAGTTGATGGGGTGGACCTATAGTCTACAGGTTGTTCTGTTCAGTATGTTGATGGGGTGGACCTATAGTGTACAGGTTGTTCTGTTCAGTGAGTTGATGGGGTGGACCTATAGTGTACAGGTTGTTCTGTTCAGTATGTTGATGGGGTGGACCTATAGTGTACAGGTTGTTCTGTTCAGTGAGTTGATGGGGTGGACCTAGAGTGTACAGGTTGTTCTGTTCAGTATGTTGATGGGGTGGACCTATAGTGTACAGGTTGTGCTGTTCAGTGAGTTGATGGGGTGGACCTATAGTGTACAGGTTGTGCTGTTCAGTGAGTTGATGGGGTGGACCTATAGTGTACAGGTTGTGCTGTTCAGTGAGTTGATGGGGTGGACCTATAGTGTACAGGTTGTTCTGTTCAGTGAGTTGATGGGGTGGACCTATAGTGTACAGGTTGTTCTGTTCAGTAAGTTGATGGGGTGGACCTATAGTGTACAGGTTGTGCTGTTCAGTGAGTTGATGGGGTGGACCTATAGTGTACAGGTTGTTCTGTTCAGTATGTTGATGGGGTGGACCTATAGTGTACAGGTTGTTCTGTTCAGTATGTTGATGGGGTGGACCTATAGTGTACAGGTTGTTCTGTTCAGTGAGTTGATGGGGTGGACCTATAGTGTACAGGTTGTTCTGTTCAGTATGTTGATGGGGTGGACCTATAGTGTACAGGTTGTTCTGTTCAGTGAGTTGATGGGGTGGACCTATAGTGTACAGGTTGTTCTGTTCAGTGAGTTGATGGGGTGGACCTATAGTGTACAGGTTGTTCTGTTCAGTGAGTTGATGGGGTGGACCTAGAGTGTACAGGTTGTTCTGTTCAGTGAGTTGATGGGGTGGACCTATAGTGTACAGGTTGTTCTGTTCAGTGAGTTGATGGGGTGGACCTATAGTGTACAGGTTGTTCTGTTCAGTATGTTGATGGGGTGGACCTATAGTGTACAGGTTGTTCTGTTTCAGTATGTTGATGGGGTGGACCTATAGTGTACAGGTTGTTCTGTTCAGTAAGTTGATGGGGTGGACCTATAGTGTACAGGTTGTGCTGTTCAGTGAGTTGATGGGGTGGACCTATAGTGTACAGGTTGTTCTGTTCAGTGAGTTGATGGGGTGGACCTATAGTGTACAGGTTGTTCTGTTCAGTGAGTTGATGGGGTGGACCTATAGTGTACAGGTTGTTCTGTTCAGTATGTTGATGGGGTGGACCTATAGTGTACAGGTTGTTCTGTTCAGTATGTTGATGGGGTGGACCTATAGTGTACAGGTTGTTCTGTTCAGTAAGTTGATGGGGTGGACCTATAGTGTACAGGTTGTTCTGTTCAGTGAGTTGATGGGGTGGACCTATAGTGTACAGGTTGTTCTGTTCAGTGAGTTGATGGGGTGGACCTATAGTGTACAGGTTGTTCTGTTCAGTATGTTGATGGGGTGTACCTATAGTGTACAGGTTGTTCTGTTCAGTAAGTTGATGGGGTGGACCTATAGTGTACAGGTTGTGCTGTTCAGTGAGTTGATGGGGTGGACCTAGAGTGTACAGATTGTTCTGTTCAGTGAGTTGTTGGGGTGGACCTAGAGTGTACAGGTTGTTCTGTTCAGTGAGTTGATGGGGTGGACCTAGAGTGTACAGGTTGTTCTGTTCAGTGAGTTGATGGGGTGGACCTATAGTGTACAGGTTGTTCTGTTCAGTATGTTGATGGGGTGGACCTATAGTGTACAGGTTGTGCTGTTCAGTGAGTTGATGGAGTGGACCTAGAGATACAGGTTGTGCTGTTCAGTGAGTTGATGGGGTGGACCTATAGTGTACAGGTTGTGCTGTTCAGTGAGTTGATGGGGTGGACCTATAGTGTACAGGTTGTGCTGTTCAGTGAGTTGATGGAGTGGACCTAGAGATACAGGTTGTTCTGTTCAGTGAGTTGATGGGGTGGACCTATAGTGTACAGGTTGTTCTGTTCAGTGAGTTGATGGGGTGGACCTATAGTGTACAGGTTGTGCTGTTCAGTGAGTTGATGGGGTGGACCTATAGTGTACAGGTTGTTCTGTTCAGTGAGTTGATGGGGTGGGACCTATAGTGTACAGGTTGTTCTGTTCAGTGAGTTGATGGGGTGGACCTATAGTGTACAGGTTGTTCTGTTCAGTGAGTTGATGGGGTGGACCTATAGTGTACAGGTTGTTCTGTTCAGTGAGTTGATGGAGTGGACCTATAGTGTACAGGTTGTTCTGTTCAGTGAGTTGATGGGGTGGACCTATAG